CTGCAGGGGGTGACACAGAGACATCCTCAACATGACAGTCACACGCAACTCCTCCTCTACCATTTCAAGGAAGGAGACTCGTCATATCATACAACTTTTAAACACAGTTTATAGTTAGCATTTAATAAAAGCTCCGTCAGATACAGCTGTTTGTCATGGCAACATAGTGTTGTTGGTCTCTCACACAGATGTGCAGAAGGATTTATTTTATAAGGTGCAACACATATGTTATTGATTGAGTGATTGATTGGATTATATATTGTATATCCCACTTGTGTTTCTGATGGAGACCAAAGAGGAACACACACTGTTTACACACTTTGAATCCAATACACACTATGCTGTATATAAACAGTATATGTATGTATATGTGTATGAAGAACAGAAAAGTAAAAGCCCAGTGGTCAGGATGAGATAAATGGACGGCTCATTGTCCTTTGTCATGCCCAGCCTGAGAGACAGCCTGTCCTCCATCAGAGGTCAGAAGTTCAGGGTTTCTACGTGTATATGTTCAGCATGTCCATGTATCATCCCCTCAGAGACAAACAGAGGGGTTTTGAATGATATATAAGCAAAAGCATGTAACAGTACACACTCAGAGCTAAATGAGGCACACTGTCTCCACTCTGTCAAAGCTAACCTTGCTCTGAGACACATGTCCACGTCCAGCTTTATTTAGAGCAACCGATGAGGCATAGAGAGCAAGATTACATATCACACTGAGCTTGTGATGTCATTGTCAAAACATCTATAGCAACATCTGATTGGCTACAGCCCAGCTGAGCAGAGGTGGTGACACTTCCGAATCAGGCAGCGGGGTCATTGAAGGTGTTACAGCTGCAACGGTACAGTGCAGATAACAAGCAAAAGGAAAAAGGTTGTCTCAACTGCGGTGTATCAGCCTATGCAAACAAATTATAATAATTCCAAATGCTTTATTTCATGAATGGTAAACAACTGCCACAGCAGCAGGATCAACGTCTATTTATGTATATTTATAGAGATGGAAGATCAGAAAGCGAGCTGAAAAAAGACTTGAATGGAGAGAACAGTCCAGTTTCAAAGCCCCAGATGGTTCTCCACAACACCAGAGATATGTTTACTGCTGAGCTACAGCAGCACGTAGTCTCTCACACCAGTCTCTGACTGGGCTGAGGCAGATAGATAGCACTCGGCAAAGGCAAACAACTCTATAGCAACAAACTTTCAACAGCGATAGCCAGAGGTGGAAGAAGTACTCCAATGTTTTACTTAAAGAGCCTGTGACAGCATCCCAACAACTGTTGTGCAATGAAATATTGGGCTACTAGTCATCTCGAACCGTCAGTTTAAAAAAGAAAAAGTGATACCGTTCCGTTAAATATCAATAATTTCGAACATCGCGGGGAAATTCCTTCGACTCATTTTGAAGTTTTGGGGGAAGCCGGAAGTGACGTCAATGCGGGAACGCTTCACTGTGCGGCGAGAGAGCCAAACACGGACAAAGTGTGTTGTCATGCGTAGAAATGGTGAATTACTGAGTTTAGGCACGTTAATAACGTTTGAATGAAGTTGACTACAGTATATTCATATTTGTCAGTGCTTTCATGTCAATTCGGCGAACATAAACATAAATGATCGTGGTGAAGATGATGATTACATTAGGATTACAAATCGGTAGTGAGAGCTACTGAATTTCCTCCCGTAGGATGTGATATAAAAACAAATCGATTATTTTTGTAGTTGTAAACTCAAGTGGATGAAACTACATTTATTAGTGCTTTCATGTCAATTCGGCGAACATATGATACATTAAATGATCGTGAGAATGATTGAGCCGGTCTGCATTTCCTGATGAGAAAACAAACCGATGCTTTTTGTAGTTGTAGTACACCAACATGTGGTTTTTTCACCACAATGTTGGGCAAATTAATGGATAAAATGCACGGATTATTATTATTATTATTCCCACTCCGATCGGGACACTAGGTCCACCGTTTCCCCGCAGCGAGGCTCCCTCCGTTGACAGTTTACGTGGGCTGGGTGCAGTGGCGGACTGGCGATCGGGACGAATCCCGATGGGCCGGTACCGAAGTGGGCCGGTCGGATAAGTCACTAGCACATCCCCCATAGGCGGCGCGTGAGGATCAGGTTTGGGAAGGCTAAATAACTTTTTTTACCTGACGCTGCCCGCCTCCGGGGTCTATAGAAAAGAGATCAACTCAGTGTGCGGAGTTTAAATCTCTCAAGTCATATTACAGGATAAAGGAAATACAGAGAAGACGCCGACGTGTCGCACTTATCATTCATATTACATCATCAATCAGATCATCGATCATATAATATCATAATATATCATATATTTCCTTATCTGAGTCAGCTTCTCCAGCCGTATCTGGCCGTGCAACACTTACAGTGTCACATACTGTATACAGAAGTATTATTTTAAGCAACACATTATGTTGACGAAACACTCGAGTCAAATGTAATTAAAGTCAGATCACTCGTGTCTTAGACGTGAACGCGCTCTCAGCTGGAGAGAGAAACCCTGGCTTGATTTACCGAGTTGATAACCAGCGTCGTAGGACCGCTTAGCGAGATCTCGTTTGTTAGTTTGTTGTTGTTAGTTTGTTTGTTACTCAAACATATCCAGGGTATGTTGAACTGGCTTCGTAGTACAGGGCACAGGTGGCTGGCAGCGCTAATGTCAAAGACACAGACATTGCATTATATTTGTATTTTACCAGGATGCAGTGACACAAATATTTACATATTTACATTTACTATCTACAGCACCCGCCGCCCCTGACATCCCCCACTCCCCCGTTGACAATTTACTAGCGGTACCGAAGTGGGCCGGTCGAGAGTCCCGGGATGATTTTTAGTCCCAGTCCACCACTGGCTACATGACCGTATGATCGCCATATTGACGCACCTAATTCCTAAACTTCTAACAGATACAACATAAAGCGATCCTTCAGCCTCATATGAGCTCTCAGACACGTTCAAAATGAAACTGTGATCGCTGTTTTAGCTTGCTGCTGTGTGCGCCATCGTGCGTTTACATGCAGATGCTGGGATCCTGAACGGTGCAGCTGGAGCGCTGTGCCCGCAATGACGTCACACGTAATTTGGCGGGACTTGAAGAATCCCCGAGAAGATCCAGGAAATGGTCAACATTGAAGGGCAGATTAATGGTTATCAAAGTACAAATATCCAAAATCAGTTCAGTAACGGTTTTCAAGGGGACAATATTTACTCAAATTGATGGGTTTGGATGATGGGTGAAACTCGTGTCACAGGCTCTTTAAGTCAAGGTAGCAATACTACCCTATTAATACATTTTTGAATTTTATAAACTAAGATGATGAAATAATCGTTTTTTATTTTCTGCCCTGAATGCAGTTTCAGGTTGAGAGTTTGATTGCTTAAAGTACATTCTTATTTTAACTCGCTTTGGGTCCAGTGTGAACACAGCTGTTCAGTCCGTTTCTGTGTCTACATGTTGGGGATTATTTTGGGGCTCGGGGGAGTCAGAAGGTCTAGAAGAGCAGGAGGATCTTCTGCCATCCTCACCTCCTATAGATGACTGCTGGACATTTGATTCCAACACACTGCCAGTTGAAATATCTCAGAGACACGGAACGTGTCAAAGCAGTAGGATCATGTGACCTGCAAACATGTACTTATTATAGTTTCAGATCTGCCCGGCAACAAGTGGGCCACCCTGTGAGATGGCAGTAAGCGGCTTAGGTAAACACTTGGATATTTAAGGGGGAGGACTCATAATGAGACTGTGAGGTTGAGGTGGGGGGGGGGGGGGGGGAGACAAAGTAATCCTCTGTTTAGAATCCTCTGTTTAACCAAAGATGCAGGTAAAGTTACAATTATTTGTGATTGAATCACCTCATGAGGTATCAATAGATATCAATATCTGTGAGGATCAAAAAATAAATTAATGGAACAAATATTCCAAAAGATATTGAAAGGCTGTTGATGACAAGAGATTATGAAATAACATCTCTCTGCCATCACATAATTACAATCACCAACTCAAACAGTAGGCTACACAATGATAGTAGAGCAGGGGTCGGAAACCCCTGGCACACGTGCCACCATTGGCACGCGGCACCGTAACCAGTGGCACACTAGGAATAAGTGTGCAACATATTTAAATTGTATTTTCGGATCCAGTGCGCGTCTCCCCGTTACCTGCAGAAAGAAGCCATGCACGCAACCCAGCCCCGCTCTCTTTAACTCCATGCGACTTTCTGCCACTTTCCTCCATGGTGCAGCGCTGATCCTTTCACCACGGAGGAAAGCACTGCTGCCGATCTTCTCATCTCTCATCAAAAATAATATGCTACACAGGGGCGGACTGGCCATCTCTGTGTTCTGGAGAATCACAGAACGGACGGTCGTCATTATTATTATGCCGTTTAAACCAAGCGGCAAACTCTGGGGAAGAGCCGGTACGCCAATACTGAAGTGCCACACACTGCAGTTCATATATTGGCCGATAGGCGATGGCTGCAGAAAGGAGCAATTTCCATAGACCCCCCATGTTAAAATGCCCAATTTTACAGCAGAAAAAAACATGTTTCTACCCCTGGCTCCATACATTTTTATTATCGATATAGTTAGATTCCACCTTCATGATTATGGATCTGTGAGTGAATTGTTTTCTAACGCGACCCTTTTATTTATATTATTGTTATTTATAGTTAACATGTTGGCCCTCTATTGTCTTTTATAATGCACTCTTAAATTTAAAACAACATTATTCAAAAGAAAGTTGAATATCTACAGACCTCAAAAAGTTATTTTATGTGTTTTTGTTTATTATTTTGTATTAGGGAAGGAGATGCCTGAAAAACACTTCAGTGCCCACCATTTTTAATTTCACCAATGGCAAAGAACAACAGCCTAGAAGCAAAAGCAGGGTGAGTAGCAATGACGAGGTAAGTGACAGTCCTAGTTCGACTGTTAACAGCAATGAGGAGGTTGCAGATGTAGACCAT